AAACTGGCATTTTTTTTTTTTTTTAGATTATTCATTTATTTGACGGAGAGAGCACAAGCAGGGGGAGCAACAGAGGGAGAGGGAGAAGCCCTGATGTGGGGCTTGATCCCAGGACCCCCCAGATCATGACCAGAGCCAAAGGCAGATGCTTCACCGACCCAGCCAGCCAGGTGCCTCTGAGCCAGCCTTCGAAGGATGGATGCAGGACTGAGGAGGACGTATCACGGCAGCCGTGGCCAGGGAGACACAACGCTGTTTGTGGACTGTTTCCATGTCACACGCGAACATGGGCGCCCCAGACTGGTGGAAACAGACTTGAAACTGCAGGTCAAGTTCAGGCCACTTTGGAAGCTGACCTGCCTCTGTGGCACCAACTGGCCTTCCTGGGGGTGGGGATGCAGATTGCAAGGCCCACGGTGGCCTGCGGAGGCTCCCAGGACGCCCCCACCTGCGGTGCTGGGGGTTCCCTGGTGACATGGGGCTGGGGAGGGGGCTGAGGGGGACCCCAGGGGGGAAGCACAGCTCTTGCCTGGCCTCCTCCATCCAAGGGCTGGGGCCTCACTCCGCTGCCCCTTCTCTGGTCTGGGGGTCTGGTTTCCTCCCACCTCCTCTGGAGCCTGGCGGGGGAGGGGAGAGGGCTCCCCTGGGGCCACTCCCCAGGACACTCCCTGAGGGCTAGGCTCTTTACCCAGCTGAAAGGGGCTGCTGAGGCATGAATGCACCTCTCCCTATTTCTGAGCCTGGGTGGGGCTGACACTGGCTTGGGCGGAGTGTTGCAGGGAGGGGATGTCTCCGCTCGACCCAGCTCAGGGCAGCCTCCCTCTCTGGGCCTCAGTGGGAGGGGTGAGTGTAGAGGTGGTTAGGTGTCCTGCAGCACCCCCCCTACCCTCCCCTGGGACAATACTCCCTGGAGAGAGGCTCCCCACCCACTCCCCATCCCCACACTGGCCGGCAAGGCCTCCTAAATGCCACTCCAGAAATGCACGGTGGGGGCATCTTCCCGGAATGCTTTTCCACCCACTGCCCCACTCATGGGACTGGCAGGTAGGAGGGGGTGTTGTTCCTCCCGAGGCCTCTGTTTAGGGAGGGACGTCAGGAGGGAAACCAGGGGTGCAGGTGGGCCCCACCGGCCTTGTCTACCTGGGCCTTGGGTGGGGCAGGATGGGGAGGAGAGAATGACTGTGCCCCAGGCAGTGTGTGTGGGGGTCACTCAGCCCTCTCCCCGGCCCTGGTGTGAATGGGGAAATGGAGGTCAGCCTGAGCCAGAGGTGGCCCTGCCTTCTTGCACTAAACTCTCTGGCCTCGCCTCGCCCTGCCCTGTGGGCAGAGGGGACGGCCACCAGCCACCAGCCGCCCTCCTGGGCTCTCACAGCTGGGGGCCAGGCTGACTCAGACTCAACACCCCGGCAGGAGGGGCCAGCTTCCCCAAGGGGGCAGGGCGGGCCCGGTAGACCGGTCGGTCCTGAGAGCAGGGCCAGAGGCCGCATGGACGCCACCCGCAGGGGCCTGAGAAGGTTCCAGCGGGGGCTCTGAACCCTTCCAGACCCATAAGGCCTTGCACAGCCCAGGGCAAGGGGGTGCGGGGGGCAGGGTGGGGTCCTGCCCAAGCGGTGAGGATATCCGAGTGGTTCTTTTTCACAGATAATGGCCTTGCAGACTGCTCAGCCTCTGCTGGGGTCCTGTGGGACGTCTGCCCACAGCAACCTTCTGCTCCTGCTTCTCAGCCTTGGTGAGTAATAGGGGCCGGCTACCGTAGATTGTTAGGGTGCAAAGAGCATCAGAGGACAGCTGAGCATTCTTAAGAAAGGCTCTACCTGCCCCATGCCTCCTTCCTGGCGGTGGGCAGTGCCCCCCCTCCCTGGCAGGTGCCCTGAGGTCAGACAGTTGTTCCAAGTTCTGGGCAGGTGGCCCGAGTCCGGGCATGTGTCCCAAATCTGGGCGCGTGTCCTGAATCCTGAACAGGTGCCCTGAGTCCCGGGTAGGCTTTCGGCCATGTCTCTGCTCCCAGAGGTGCCTCTGTCCCTCTATACCTTGCAGCATTGGAAGCTGGGCCAGGGCAGTGATGGGGGCTCAGGCCAAAGGGACAGTGTCCATGGAATGGGTATCGGATTGCCCTGAGCAGTGAGGTCTTAGGAGGAGGATGTGGGGGACCTGGGCTCCCTGGGGTTGGGTAGGCTGTGACATCATGGGGTGCTGAGGCTGGGGGGGCCAGCTTTGCCTCCTTCCTACCCAGGGTGGGGGCCTGTGGCAAGCACACCCAGGAGTCCCCGGCCATCCCCTCAAACCTTGTGCCCCTTCCCCTGCAGGGTGGGTGTTTCCTTCCAGGGCCCAGGCTGCAGACTCGAGACTGGTAAGGTCTCTCTGGGGAAAGAGAGGAAGGTGTCTGGTCTGGGTGGGGGTCCTCAGACACTGGGCTACACTTGGCTCAGCCACAGCTATGTTCTGTCCTAAGGGTGTCATGACCCCATGGCTGCAAGGCACCTCCTGGGACCTGTCCTGGCAGCAACCTGAGCTGACTGTTGTCCTCTTGAGGGACCGGCGGGACACGGAGAGTAAGCAGGACACCCTGCCCCATTGGCTGTCGGGAGACATGGAGATGGGGATAGCGTTGTGGGTCGCACCTGCCCACACATGTGTGGCCCTTCCTGGCTGCATGGCTTGCTCAGCTGTGACAACCTCGGAGAGTGGACAGAATCACCCCAGTTTGCTGATGTGTAAACTGAGGCCTGGAGGGGGTCATGCAGTCCCCAGGGTCTCAGCAAGGTTAGGGAGGAGGAGGTTGACACAAGTCCAGCCCCCAACCCCGCCTGCTCCCGCAGAGAAGGTCTGCCTACCCGAGCGGAAGGCCCACGTGATAGATGAAAACCTTGTCTTCTACGAGGAGTGGGAACTGGAGGCCTGTGTGGACGGGGCCCTGCTGGCGGCTCAGATGGACCGCGTGAACATGGTGCCCTTCACCTACCAGCAGCTGGATGTTTTCAAGCGCAAACTGGATGAGGTAGTTGGTCATGGGCTCAGGCCTGCCCACTGTGCCACAGTTTCCGTGGGCACCCAGAGCGTGGCCGTGGCCCTCCCGGTCACCTCCCTGGGCAGTTCTATCCACAGGGGTACCCTGAGTCCCTGATCCAGCACCTGAGGTACTTCTTCCTCGAGCTCACCCCCGCGGACATCCACAAGTGGAACGTGACATCCCTGGAAACTGTGAAATCTCTTCTTCAAGTCAGCAAAGGGCAGACAATGGATGCTCAGGTGACAACCTCCCCCGAGGGAGCAGATGGGGTGAGGCTGTGCAGGCCCCAGGGGATGCCTTTCTCCCAGCCCCAAGACACCTCAGAGGCCTCCTTCCACAGGTGGCTGCCCTGATTGCCCGCTACGTGGCAGGAGGGGGCCAGCTGGACAAGGCCTCCCTGGACACACTGGCCACCTTCGGCCCCACGTACCTGTGTTTTCTCAGTCCTGAGCAGCTGGGCTCCGTGCAACCCAGCGTCCTTTGGTGAGTCCCAGGGGCCTGCCGGGCGTGGTGGGCATGCCGTGCTCCAAGCTCACTGCCCGGCCCCCTGCCTGGCCCTGTGCTGCCTCTTTAGGGCAGCCAGGCCCCAGGACCTGGAGGCATGCCGCCCACCGCAGATGGACATCCTCTATCCCCGGGCCCGCGCGGCCTTCCAGAACATCAGTGGGTCTGAATACTTCGTGAAGATCAAGCCCTACCTGGGTGAGCCAGGGAGAAGCCCTGGGGGGCGTGACGGCCCAGGCTCCCCACGCGGGTGCTGCCAGGTTCTTGCCTCACGAGGCAGCTACTGTTGGTGTGGTCGGTGCTCAACGCGCCCCCTGCCCTTACACGTGTGTGTAGGTTGAGACCCTGTGAGTCTGAGCCCCCGCCAGCTTCTTCACCCACCCAGGGGAACCTGGGGCCCAGGAAGTCCTTAGGGTCAGAGGGTAAGACTGGGGGCTGTTGTGAGGTCTCCTGCTTGGGGCCCCTCTCCCCGCGAGCAGCTGGGGCCCCCACGGAGGACCTGCGGGCTCTCAGTCGTCAGAAGGTGAACATGGACACGGCCACGTTCAAGACGCTACAGACGGAGGCTGTGCTGGTACGGCCGGGGGCGGGGCCGCGCGGGGGCTGTCAGAGCGCCGGGGTCCGCTCCGAAGTCCCGAGGGGCTGAGGCAGGGTGTTTGGGCCCGGGAAGCATGGGGAGGTCTGGACAGCCTTCTGGGGGAGAGGCAGGGTGACCCTGACGGCCCCCTGGGGGCTCTGGCAGCCGCTGACCATTGCCGAGTTACAAAACCTTCTGGGTCCAAACCTGGTGGGCCTGAAGGCAGAGCAGGAGAGCAGCCCCGTGCGGGACTGGATCTTACGGCAGCGGCAGGATGACCTGGACAGTCTGGGCCTGGGGCTCCACGGTGGCATCCCCAGTGGCTACCTGGTCATGGACCTCAGCTTCCGAGGTGGGCCAGGGCGGCCAGCTGGGTGGGGTGGGGGCAGAGCCACGCCCGGCGCCTGAGTCACTCTCTCTGCAGAGGCCCTCTCAGGGGGCGCCCGCCTCCTCGGACCCGGACCAGTGCTCATTGCGATCCCCACTCTGCTCCTGGCTTTGATCCCCAAGTGAGCCCACTGCTCTGGATGCGGGACCTCCCCTGCCCTGAAGCCCTGCCTGGCCCACCCCAAGGGGACTGGACTTCAATAAAAGGCCCCTGTCCTTCCCTGCAGAGATGCCCTGTGGTGTTCTGAGGACCGGGTGGGGAGGCACAACCCCATGAGGTGGTAGATGTGGTTCTTGAGTTGGAGTCCCTCCTGTTTGCACTTGGAGACGGGGAGGGGGGAAAGGGGGTGGCTCTTAGGGCCCTCCTACCACTGTTTCCATTCCCAGGGCCTTCCCTCTGAGGCCAGGCCAACACTCAGGGTGGCTTCTGGGGACAGGGCCCAGGAGATGCAGACAGAAGTCCTATTCCCCGCTAAGAGGGTCTCTGTCCCTCCTTGGGCTCAGAGCAAAAGGATGCAGGCAGGAGGATCACCTTGTCTTTTATTCAAATCCATCAGCAAGGCCCCCTCCCCAGTACCAGTTCTTCATCCTGAGGGAGGCCAGAGGATTGGGGCAGCAACTCGGTCAACTGTTCCTGGCTGGCCGCGGGGTGGGCCCAGGTCCTCATTCCAGCTCCATGTCCTGGGAGCTGGATGTGAGGGGACCAGCCCCACAGGCCCCTAGGATGTGGGACATGGCCAGGTCCTCTGGGCCTGGAGCCTGCCCCTGGGCCTGGGCAGGTGTCCGGCTCCACCTTCCAGCCCCAGTTTCCCTGCATGTGGGGCGGGGCCGGTGCCGCCTTTGGAGGCCTTGGTGCAGGCGCCCCAGGAGCAGTCCTGGCTGGGCCCTGGGGTGCCCCAATACAGCAGCCCCAGGAGGCCGGAGGGCAGGGCCACAGCGAGTGGCAGGTACCTCAGGTGGGCCGGTGGGCTGCCTGTAGGAGGAACGTGGATGGAGCACCTATCAGGCCCGGCTGGGAGCCTCCTGGGCCTGGGCAGGCCCTCACTCTGCGCCCCTGGGCTGGGAAGGCCAGGGGGGACTGCCACGGAGGCTGTTCCTCTGGGCCTCGACAGGGCTCTCAAAGCTTCTCCCACCCCCACTTTCTGGTGCTCGGCAGGTGCTGGAGGAGGTGATTTTGTCCTTTAGTAACTGAACAGCCAATGTCACCACGTGTCACCCAAGCAGGTGAAGGAAAGAGCCAACAGAGCATGAGGTTGGGCGCAAGATGAGGAGCCAGGGGCAGTCGGGTCCACAGAGGCCCTGCGCAGACAGGGAAGGCACACTAGAGGGGAGGATGGGTCTGGGGCATACCGGAGGTGGGGGCCTTGTTCCCCGGCTGGCCCGAGGTGGGGGCCAGATGGGGCGCGCAAGGTGTGGTGTTGGGGGCCCCGGTGCTGGAGCGGGCCAGGCTGGTGGGGCCGGCAGTGTCCCTGTCCAGGCCCAGCTCTCCTAGGACCGACGTGTTCAGGCTGCGGAGCCAGGAGCTGATGGTCGGGTGGCTGCGTGCCTTCTGCAGGTCCCCCACGTTCTGGCCCAGCAGTGTGGTCACATTGCCGACACTCAGGCTCTGCAAGGGGAGGGAGAGGGCTATGGGCGCAGGTCTGGAGGGTCCCGCAGTGGCCGGCTTTGGGGCCAAAGGCAGACCCGGCAGGGCAGTACTTAACTGAGGAGCGAGCACAGGGGTGAGGCCCGGCAGAAGCGACCTGGGGTTCACGCTGTCTGTGTACCTCTGACTTTGGGGTGAGTGGGGCCTGCAGGTTGTGACAGAGGCCTCCCCCGATTTGGCAGCCCCATCCCCCACCCCGGACAGGCCGCCCCGGGGGCCCACCTGCAGCACTCGGGGGTTCAGGTTGGTGAAGGTGTCGATATCCATGGAGACGTTAGCCTGGACCAGGTACCGCAGCTCCTCCACGGGGGCACCTCCTGGGGGCAGGCAGTGGTGAGAGGGCAGGGGCGGGGGCCTCTGGGGCCAGGGGGCCCGCACACAGGGCAGGGGCTCACCGAGGTAAGGACGCATAAGGCGGTAGTAGTTAGCTGTGTTCCTGGCGCTGCCAAAGGCCTCGCGGGCCTTGGTGTAGAGTGCGTCCTTCCGACTCTGGGGGCAGGAGGAGATATCCAGGGCCCCGGCCTGCCTGGGGGAGCGTGAAGCTGGTGGGCGCGCTGGGAGCCCCTCGTGCTCCCGGCCTCTCCCTGCCACAGCTTTCCTCTTGCTCTCTGTACAGCGCTGAATAGTGTCCCCCCAAAACTCACGCCTGCCCAAAACCTCGGAACGCGACCTTGTTTGGAAATAGAGCCTTTCCTATTTGTAGATGTGATGACGATGACATCTCAGGGAATTAGCGCAGCCCCGAGTCTAACAACAGGTGAAGAGAAGGGACTGTGTGCACAGGCGCGGAGTGCAAGGCCCTGCAGCCGCGGGGGCGGAGGTGGGGATGCGTCCACCAGCCCTGGGAAGGCCAAGGGGTTCCGGCAGCACCACCCCAAGTAGGTTGCAGCCTCCCCTGCAGACTTCAGAGGGAGCCGGCCCTAGGACATCGATTTCAGATCGCGTGGGAGAAGTTTTACCACTTGGTTTGTGGTACCTGGTTGTGCAGCCACGGGAACCTAGCAGGCCTCAGGCTGAGCCCCTCCCTCCCTGGCTGGGCGCGTCCCTGGGCTGGCTCACCGGAACTCTGTGGGCCTGATGGCCTGGACCTGCCTGGCACTCATCCAGCAGAGGCGGGAGCCCCCGATGGCCATGAGCAGGGTGCTGGTGATGGTGCCGTTGTGGTCCAGGTACTTCTGTAGGACAGCCTGGAGGGAGGGCCTGGGTCAGCGGGCCCAGGGGCGGCGCACCGCCCGCCCCCCCGACCATGCTGCCCTCACCTCGGTCTGGTTCTCCAGGGCCACGTCCGAGGCCAGCAGGGCCACAACCGTGTCCCTGGACGTGATGTTCCACTGGCCGATCTCCGAGCGGGAGTAGAGGTAGACCAACGAGGTGATGAGCCGCAGCTGGTCCTCGGGGACGCCATGTGGGTAGACCTGGGTGGGTGGGAGGGTCAGGCCCGCGGCTGGGTGCCTGCCCACCGCCCCCCGCAGCTGGTCTGCGACGCACCTGAGCCAGCTTGGCCTTGATGACACGCTGGCACTCGACTGGCAGTGGGTGCTGCAGAAGGGGGTCCAGGTTGGCTTTGAGCACGCGGCTGCCCAGGCAGGACTCGAGCTGCACACAGTCATAGTGCACTAGGAAGAGGTTGTCATGGAGCATGGCCGCTGTGATGTCCCCGTGGATGCAGGGTCTCCCTGTGTTTGGGGGGGGGTTGGGGGTTTTGAGCTGAATTTTGCTGATTCACTCCTAACCTCGACCCACCCTTGAATCCCTCCCAAGCTTGACCTCTAGCCGAGAACTCGCCCAGACCAGGTAGAGTCAACCCTGACCTTGACCTGCAGTTCAGCTCCACTGGACTCTGACCCCCCAGCCCCACCCCAGGCTGGATGCAGACCCCTGGGTGGTACCCAGGAGGTCCAGCAGCAGGTGGGACTATGTTTTGAGTGCTCCCCCCCCCAGGGTTAGGAGCCCAGAGGACGGGAGGGACAGCATTCCCAGGCCATGGTGGCCACACTGACCTGTGCCCCGCTTGGGCCGAGAGGACACTGACGCGGCCTTGGCCTCGAGAAAGCCAGTGACGAAGCGCCTGGCATCACGCTGGCTGAGCCGCCCAGCTTGGTACGTGGCCACTGTGCTGCTGAAGAAGGCCAGGCCCACAGCCTGGCCAGGCAGGCGTAGAGACTGTACCCGGGGGAAGGGCTGCCCGGGGCCACCTGGTTCCTCCTCCCGTCCCGCAGACGGAAACCCTGGGGCAGGGAGTGACTGGGGACGCTCGTCAGGCATTGGAGCCCTACCCCCAGGCCTGGACAGGCTGGTGGAAGGTCGGCGGGATGCCCCTGTCGTTGTCCACAGCCAGCTTGTGAACGCCCCCCACCCCCACCCCGTAGAGTGTCCTACCTCCTGCACCTGCATCCACAGGCTGGAGCTGATGTAGGTGGCCAGGGATCCCAGAGCCCGCAGCCCCTCTAGGTTCCAGGAGCCAGGAGGCCTGGTGTGGGGTAAGGGAGCACCGTGTTAGGGTCAGGAGCAGAGCCCCAGCCCCCGGAGGCTGCCTGCCCCTCCCTGAGCACCCAGTTTCCAGGGCCTGCTCAGCAGAGACCGTTCCACCCCAGGTGTGGGGGCAGGGGAACTGGGGGTCTGGAGGGTGGCAGCACCCCGAGCCTGTGCACCGTAGGCTGCAGGGTCGGTGGGGCTGTGAGCTGGGGGGACAGGTCACAGGTCAGCAGGTCGGTAGACATTAGGGGTCTCCTGGGCCCAAAGTCCAGGTCCTCTCAAGGAGGAGAGGCCTGGGCAGAGGGCACCGGGCCCTGCCTACCCCAGCACGGTCTTGCCGCCGGCCAGCAGCGTGTTGAGGGCGGCTTGCTGGGTGGCCGTCAGCCGGCAGCAGCGTTGCAGGTTCTCCAGCACACGCGGGTCTGCGGCCTCGATGCGGGACGCATCCATGTCGCACACCAGGACCCCAAGGAGCAGCAGGTCAGAGGCGCTGAGCCACGGGTGGGGCGCTCCCTGCCACACAGCGGGTCAGCACGAGCCCGGCCCCGCTGCCTGCCCACCCACCCTGCCCCGGCCCACCCGTCGTGCCTACCAGGCAGGCCAAGGCTGCGTGCCGCAGGGCGACCCTCTGGTCTGGCAGGTTGGCTAGCAGCTCCATGTCCCCCTGAGCGGCGCGGCGGGTGAAGGCCCAACAATCGGCTTCCCTTACCTGCGTCAGGCTGCGGGCAGGTTGGGGGGCTGTTGGGAGGGTGGGGGCCACCCGAGGGCCCTCCTCTGGGGTGGCCCAGATGTCCCTGGGGAGCTGGGGTCCCTGGGACTCCGAAGGAGGCATGCTCAGCTGTCCCCGCACGGGGAGGGGGGGGCACTCACTTGTAGAACAGCAACAGGTTGGGAGGGTGCAGCTCAAAGTCGTCCTGGAGGCCATGCTGAGCGGCCAGGTTGGCCAGGCAGCTGAGCTGGGCAGGGCAGGGGCGTGTCGCGGGCTTGCCCAGCCTGGGGCTCCCAGCCCCCCTCCTGCCGCCACCTGACCCTTGCCCTCAGCGTGGCCTGGGCTCTGTCACCTGGACGCCCTGCCGGCTCCCCGTCTCAGGAGGTGTCGGGGCCACCCTGAAAGCCCCCCACCCCCGACCCCCACAGCACTACAGCGGCTCAGTCGTTCATCCCAACGTCATCTCCTGCCTAGACGTTTTGTCTCGCTTGACTTACTTCGGGGTTTTCGGATTTATTGCTAATTTCATACTAATTTTATAATGAGACAGAATAGTAGCTTTTCTTCCTTCTGTTTCTTTAAACTCAGGAGCAGGTAATGCTTGGGTCAGCTGTGGGTCGAGGTGGACTCAGATGACAGGGGAGAGGCCGGGAGGCTGGAAGATCCACACGGGGCCCAGAGGACCTGTCCCCAGTGTGGGCACCATGTGCCAATGGAGGCAGGAAGCGTCTAGGGTAGGCCTGCTGGACAATCCCTCACCCGAGCCAAGAACAGAAGTCAGGGGGTCTGCAGGGAATTGACTGAAAAGTCCTGGAAATGGTCCCAAATGGGCAGCACCAGAGAGTCACCCAAGGAAGGGAAACCTCAACGTCAGACAGCCGGACCTCCTGCCACGTTGGGGTCTACCCAATAGCTGTGTCTCAGGTGTTTGCGAGGCTGGCTGGGTCTCGCTCCCCATCCCAGCCCCGTGAGCCCCCTGCTGACCCGAGCCCTTTGCTGGGGATGCCCTTCTTCCCCGCCTGTCTCCGGGAAGTCCACCCCCTGCCCTCAGCACCCTGGCCTGCTCCCGCCAGCCACAGCTCTTTACCTGCCAGGCTCTGAGGGGGACCTGCTGGGTGGCCATCCCCCGGATGAGAGCGGAAAGCTGGTCCCGGGGCAGCTGGCTGGCCGGCTGGCACCAGAAGTCGTGCAGGAGGGAGGTGTCGGCACTGGGCAGACAGGGGAGGACAGGCGGTGAGGAGTGGCATCGAGGTCAGCACCCCCAACACTGAGGGAGCGAGACACACACGAGACCGCGGCTTCACTCAGCACTCACTCACTCCCGTTGGTACACAGTGGGCGCCAGGCTCCAAGCTGTGAGCAGGGCTTGGAAGTGGCCCTGGCCTGGACTCTGGGTCTATGCCTCCTCCGGAGGCCTCGTCCCAGCGGGCTCTGGGCTCAGGCAGGCTCCACTGTCCCAGCGATGGCTGAGGGTGTGGAGGAGATGTGGCCTGAGCGCCAGCCGGGTCACCGCAGCAGGCCTGGCTTCTGGCTGAGTGCTCCTCATGGTGTGCATCTATCTAATAAAATCTGTGTGTGAGGAGGGTATCTTGTGGGACTTCACCCCAGGCCTCTAACCCTGCCTAATCAGTCCTTCAATGAATTGATTGATGGCTCATCAGTGATCTCTAATCCTCCAGGGAAGGGAAGGGTGGCTGAGCCCACATACGAGACCTCGGGACAGTGCTTGGGAATGACTGAGTCTCTGGGACCTGGGAGAGCAGCCCAGTCTTGGGGCAGAGGAAGAAACCCAAGAGGACTCAGGACAAGAAGTAATTGCCTGGCAGGCCAGGAGAGCAGTGCAAGCTGTGAGGGGTTCAGGGCCCCAGGCAGCTGCGACGGCCTGGGGGACCCAGTCCTGACCACGTGGCTGTGAGTCTGATGCAGGACACTGGATGCTCTGGGCCATCTAGGGGCAAAGTCGGTGAGTGATGGGAGCCCTGCCTCAGCTTTCCTGGGCCATCGGGTGCAGAACCTGGGGATGCACGCCCCCCCCTCCCCCCAGCCTGCCAGAGGATCAGCTGCAGAAACGTGACCTGGCACTCACCTGGCCCACAGGTCAGCCCTGCTGGCATCCAGCCCTCCCTGGGAGAAACCCTGGGCCTGGGGACAAGAGCAGTGGGCAGTGAGCCACATGAGGAGGGCGAGGCCTGGGCTCATCTGGGCACCTGGAACAGAACAGGCCTTGAGCTGCTGTGGGCCCCCAGCACACCGGGGCACTGCCTGCTGGGGGCATCCCTCAGGGTCTACCTGGGGCTCCCTGTGTCCTAGGGTAGGCCTAGGACCACAGATGGTCCTACCACCTCAGGGGAGCCTCGCTGTGGGAACCACCACTGGAGGGCCCAATGTGCCCCTTTGTGAGGGCTGTCTCACCTGCTCTGGGGCCCATGGCTGTCCTGGCAGAAAGGTGTGGGGTCACGGGCGGTGGGTGCAGGACTAGCTGGAGAGGAGACAGGAGGTGGTAAGGCCCACCCCATCACCTTCCCTGCCCTCTTTGGCACGGGGCACAGAGAGGGAGGTGCCATCCAGGGTCATGTAGGTTGGGCTCCCTGCAACTGCGTCTCTGTGTCTTTGGGGAGGACACAAACACCACAAAGTGCCTCTCGGGAACTAAGGGAGTGGCAAGAGGAGGGGCCGGGCCAAAGCCCCGGGCCTTTCTTATCGCAGGTCGGGGCTCCTGAGACCTGGAGGCTTCGGTGTCTCCAATAAACAGATCTCTCAACAGCTACAGGGGAGGGACGGTGGTCCCAGGAAGTCCCTGCAGGCAGCTGTGGGTAGAGGCCTGGGGGCTCTCCAACCTGCCCCCCATTCCTGGGCGGCCTAGAAAGCCCTCCTCCCTCGTAGGGCCTCAGACGCCCAGCCAGACCTGGCCTCTGGCCACAGCCCACACCACAGCCCCACAGGTTGCCCTGCCCAGTCTCCAGATGGAGGCCTTAACTGTGAGATGAAGGTGTCAGAGTGCCCGTGGGCTCTAGACCCTGCACGGCCCAGGGTGTTACTGTCCCATGCGGGCGACAGAGTGGAAGCCAGACGAGCCCAGCTACCCACCCAGGGCCACACCGAGACTGCCTCCTAGCCGGGCCCAGTGGGTGCAGGTGCCAAGTGGCCCTGCCCCAGCCCCCACTTCTCACCTGAGCATGGAGACCATCTCCTGTAGAGGGAGGTTGCTCCTGCACCCCGCGGTGGCCGTCCGATGTGTGTGTGGGGGTGCAGGCCGGTGCCAGGAGCTGCAGTCCCCTGCAGTGACCCCAGTCCACTGAGTGTGTCAGCCCCTGCAGCTGACCACTGGGGCTCCACGGTGGTGCAGGGTGGGGACACCTGGGTTCCTGCTCACCTGCATGCCTCACCCAGCACCCGCCTGCCTGCCCGCCCACTCCTGCAGTGATGCCGGCCAGGCCGATGTGGAGGGGAGGAGTGGGGGCTGTGTCAGGTGAGGCTGCCGTGCCCACCCCTGGGGGCCTCAAGCAGAGCAGACACCTGCTCTCCAGCCCTGGGGGAGCGGGAGGCTGAGCTCACGGTTGGCGGCCACCCAGCACACACCCCTTCCCCCTGGGGGATGTGTCTGTGCCCTGAGGATCGGATGTGTCTTCATACGTGTGCGTGTCTGCGTCTGTCATGCGTGCTGGTGTTTTTGTGCACACGCGTGTGTGTCTGGGAGCATCCACAACTATGTGATGCATGTGTTCCCTGCAGGGACGCCAGGCACATGCAGATACAACATGGTGGCGGTTTCTGCCCTGTGAGCACGTGCGTCCATACACGTATGTGCTGGGGGTTAAGGGGGGGGTGCAGGCACCAGATAGGTGACCCCAATGGCAAAGAGCTGTGCCACACATGCCCTGCGGGCCCAGGACCGGACAGCTCCATAAGCCTGGGCCTCTGGGGCTGAGTGGGAGGTGCCCCAGCGAGGGTGGGTGGGGCCAGGTGCCCAGAGCTGAGTCCTGGCTCTCCTCAACCCCTGGGAGGGGCGCAACTCCCACCTGGCAGGGCCAGGAGGGCACCGGGCCTTGAACCCCTGGACCCACTAGCACCACAAGTAGGGCTGCACATGCCCAAAGGGCCTGCCACACGGCCAAGAGGACACACTGACCCTAGAGGGCCAACAGCTGGAGGGGCCAGCTGGGGACTGCCGCCCAGCTCTGCATGGAAGTTCAGCCGCACCATGTAGAGCTGGATGCGCTCCTGGCCTCCCAGTACCACTGGGGGCGCTGCCCCACCAGCACACACGCCCCCAGGAGCTTGCCTGCCACAGGCCTGCCCCACGCTTCACCCCCCCTGCAGCATCTGTCTGGCCACTCCTGCCTGAAGAAACTCTCCCTGCCATCCGTGCCCAGGAGACCCTGCTCAACTCCCATGCCTTCCAAACCTTGCCCACCACAGCTAGGGTGTGTGCCCCAGTGTCTGGGCTCCATACCCTCAGCTTTGAGGCCCCCCAGGGCAGTGGGAGACGGCCAATCTGCAGGAAGCAAGGTCTGGATCTGGCCTGCGGGTGGCTCTCTGGGTCGTGGGGGACTCAAGGGGCCAAGGAGACCTTTCAGGGGGAGCAGCAGGGCTGTGAGAGGAGCAACATACATTCCCCAGGGTGGGGCCTACCCCTGTGCGCCTTCCCGTCCTGCTTCCCTACCTTGGGGGCTACCAGTCTGTCTAGCCCTCCAACTTCTCTGCCGTTTGCTTTGTAGGCCCAGCCTGTGGGCCCCACCAGGCCAGAGTCTACACCAGTGTCCTCCAGCTGGCCACACCTGCCCTCTGCTGTCCCCCCCGGGCCCATCCCAGCCAGGAGTGCCTACCCTGCAAGGTAGCTGGCGTTCCAATGGCGGAGAACCCTAAGGAGGATATGGGGACAATGACTCTAGGGAGGGACCCTGGTGAGAACAGATGGGTGCTCCAATGCTTTTGGCTAGGTGAATGGGGGATGTCTAGGAACAGAGCTGACCCAATTTCAGTCCTTCACCCAGAGCCCAGCCTCCATTCACACTAGGCTGCAGGGTGCTCACTGCATGGCAGGGGGAGGGTCCATCCTGGCTCCTGCTGGAGGGCCTAGGGCAGAGATCTGCCCAGTGTAGGAAAAAGGGCAGGGGTCTGGGGCCTCAAACCTCCCCATTGGATGGATTCATAGTCACTCATGAGATCAGTCACTGAGTATTTATTCTGAGGCCCCGGAGCTCAGCTACAACTAGGCCGACGTGGGCATGTCATCGGGATGGAAGAGATGGGGGCTGGCCACTCTTGCTCCCCAGCTGAAGTGTGAGGACCTGTGGTGGCCTAGGCACTGTGAGAAGACCGAGGGACGTGGCTCGGACCCTCCCCCATGTGCCGTGTGGGTGGGGAGGAGGAGGCCCACCAGCAGAATCTGGTAAAAGCAAAGGCACGAGGCAGCACTGGGTGGGCGGGATGGGTCAGGGTCCGCAGGCGGAGAAGACCCAGCCAGGATAGGCTGACCAACACAGAAGGTCCAAGAAGAGCAACGAGGAGCAGGGCGCTCTGAGGCCTGGGGGCCCTGCAGGAGCCTAACTTGAGGCTGGCCCGCTGTGGGCTCTGTCCCTTAGAGAGTGACCCTGGGCAAATCCATAAAACAAGCCCCTAGGAGTGAAGCTTTGGAGCCAGGAAGGCAGGCCTTGGTGTCCCCTCTCAGGGGAACGGGGTGCTCAGAGGGAGGTCCCATCCTCCAAACTCCCCGGCAGCCTGGCTCCCCCTGCTGGCCCTGCCCGCCCCTCTCCAGGCCTGGCTGCTGGAGCCAGGACCTCAGGCCCCATCCACAGTGGGGCCGAGCACAGAACACCCTGACTCAGGATGGGCCCAGGGCTGTCCCCTGCAGCCCCCATCCCCCTAGTGGGCCCAGCCTGCCACTCCCACCCAGCCTGCTGCCCTCAGTTGTCAGGCTCTAGGGTCCACTCTGACAGCCACTGCAAGCATGAGGCCCGCTGTGCCTCTGTCTCAGGGGGCTTGTTGGGGGGCGTGGAAGTGCTGCAAGACCCAGGACTACCTTCTGTGGGATCAGGGTCGGGAGCAGCCCTCAGGACCTGGACAAGCTGGTCCAGTGACTGCACCAGAGTATGGGGGCTCCAGCAGGCATCAAGCGCCGGCACGAAGGGATCTGGTGTGCAGGCCTCCACACGTTCAGCGTGAGTGGGGATACGCAGATAAAAGGCGTGCAGCATCATGCGGAAGGGCTGGTCTTCTTGGTCCGATGCCTGCCCGTAGGTCAGGTCGCCCACGACAGGATGGCTGAGAGCACTGCAATGCACACGCAGCTGGTGCGTCCGGCCTGTGGGGGTGGGGTGGGGCAAGAGAACTGGTAGGGTGGGGGTGCCATTCCATGCCCACCCCTCACCCACTCACATCACCCCTAGCCCTAGCCCCTATTGCCCTCTTCAAGCCCCCAAAACCCCGAGACAAGGCAGACCCGTTCCCCGTTATAGACAAGAACGTCAGAGCTTAGAAGAGGGATCGACCTCGAGATCACTGCCAGTAGGGGCAGGGCCAGGTGCGCTAGACCACCCCCGTTGGCCTTCCAGGATAGCAAGGCCTGGGGTGGGCGGGGGGGGGGATAGCAAAGTGGCCCCAGGCAAGCCATTCTGCCCCATGCCACCACATATTATGCTATGGGACAGACACACCTCCGTACACATGGCTGAGAAGCACCATTAGTAGACAGCAAGCGGGCCTGGAAAGTTTCCTGCCTCGCCGCTGGACGCACCTGTGAGGGGCTGCAGCAGCACTTTGGAGACAGGATCGCCGGCATACAGCCCATACTCCAGGACCACCAGCTCTGTAAGGCTTGGTTTGGGGTTCTCACAGCCTGTGGAGAGCAAGACGAGGTGCGAGGGTTGGCTGGACCTGTGGAGAGCCCAACCCACCCAGCCCGGCTCATTCAGGGCCCCCACTGGGTGACGAGTCCTTCCCTCCGTACCCTGAGTGCCCTCAATGCACATGGTGTGAGCCCGACCCTCGGTGCTGTTCCTGCCGATGGCGTAGTTGATGGTCATCCGGCTCTCCTGCACGTGTCCCCGCACCTGCTGGGCACAGACTCACAAGCTGCTCTCAGGACCACCCACCCCTTCTGGGGAGCCCATCTCGCACTGACAGCCTGCCGAAGCGGCTGAGGATTGGAATCCCCTGCCCAGGGGGGTGGTCAGGCCTTACCAGAGCCAGATAGGCCTTGGTGACGCGCCGCTCCTTGAAGCACTTATAAGCGCTGCCCGCTGCCGCCTTGTTCAAGGCCACGCAGAGTGCCCCGCTGGTGGAGAAGTCCAACTGGTGGCAGAACCTGACACGAGGCCGGGGATCAGGGCTGGCCAGACTGGGGAGTGGCTACTTCCTCCCACAGAAGCTGCTGGGGGCCACTGGCCGGCCTCCGCCTACCTGAACCCATAGTAGGTGTCAGGATCTGCTAACTCCGGGAAGTGGTGGCGCAGCTGCTTCTGGAGGGTCGGAGTCTCCCGCCACATCCTACTGTCGATCCGCAGGTCCCAGTGCTTGTTCACCACAAGGAAATCCTGGCTCTGGTACACCACGGACAGGTTCTCTATTCGGCCTGGTTCCATGGTAGAGACCTGCAAGTGGAGGCTCACGGGGAGTCCACAGTGGACTCATTAGGGTCCCCAGGGTCCCCAGGGTCGCGGGTGGGAAGCCGCTGACGCGGTGTCAGCCGAGCACACGGTCCCAGTGTGTATGCACCCGCTAGGTCCCTTTCCACGCCTACCTCTGAGCTCCGACTGTGGGGCTGCCCAACCCAGACGCAGATCCCGGGGGAAGCAGTCCTGCGCCCCGGCCCACCCCCGCGGACCCTCCCGGGACAGTGCACCAACATGCCACGGGAGTCTCTTCCTGAGCGGGGAAGGGCCAGGAGAGGGGCTGCCGCGCCCCCCACGGCCCGGGCGGGCCAGGTCAGCAGAGTGAGGGGGCCCCCTACGCCCCCCTCTCCCTCCGCGCAGAC